GTCCCGCTTGGCAGGAGAGACCGTCGTAAGATCCGACGTGTTTTAGACCGACTCAGCCACGGATGGAGCTGTCGACCAAGCAAAGTTGGTTAGTGCCTTATAAGTTAACTATGTACAGACTGATATAGATAGATATTTAGATAGATATATAGATATGAGCATGCTGAGATAAATAGATTCAAAATCGTTTTATTTTCAGTGTTTTTAACACTTAAAGCCTTCGTTTACTATTTATGTGTCGTGACCCTTCAGTACGAGCAATTATGACTCTACACGACTTCCTATCCTTCGTAGCTTTGAGTAATGTTTGCCCCATTATTACTCTTCCTGCAATCGTTTTTCCCAAGCTCATTAGGTAGATTGATCATGACTCTCCACAACTTCATATCCTTTGTAGCTGTCAGCAATGTTTGTCTTCTTATTGATATTCCAAGTCCCTGTACTGCCGTCTATTTACACAAGCTTGTTAGGTAGGTTGATAATGTCTCTCCACAACTTCCTAACATTTGTAGCTTTAAGTAATGTTTGCCCCATTACTACTACTCCTAGTCCCTGTTCTGCAATCGTTTTTCCCAAGCTCATTAGGTAGGCTAACCGATGTTTCCTTCTGCCGCTCTTGACTTATGTATGTCCCTGTGAGTGTCAAATTTTCCGAGCACTCTTTCATCAATATGCGTAGTAGAAATTTCACTTGCCTCTCTGTGTCACTTTACTTAAGGTTCTCTCCTTGCAAACATGTTCCGACAATGATATTCTCAAAATTCTTCTGCCACAAGTCTCCTACGGGGAAATTATCAAACATTATAGAAGTTAAGCACTATTTTCTTTATTTCGAACGAGATTTTCCTGTTTCTTAATACATTGCTTAGCGTTCGGAAGGCATCATTCGCTATTAAAATGCTCCTTCGGATTTAGGTTTCACATTTGTCTACAGCTTCTGAAATAAGGCGGTATATCAACAGCATTTATAATAATTGATGGTATATCCTTCTTGGGTTTGTAACATTGGCATGTAAACGATGATACCAACGGCGAATAATACCATCGTGTGACACATTATTTACCCGTCTTGTCTCTGTTCGTTCAATAGAGCAATTGTTATTGGTGAGCTAACTGAAAGAGTCAGTCAGTGTTCCATCCTGCTATATACATGTTTAAGTTGTCGAAACATCGATGAGTAGCTTACCTAAAGAATGGCAGAACGAGAAGGGGGGCGGTAATGAATCAAAGGTTGCTAAGAGATACAAGAGACAGGAAGTTATGGAGAGCCATGATCACTCACATAATGATGTTACACCGCACATGAAGTAAAAAGCATTAACTTGGTTCAGGTATAGGAAAATACCGGTTGTTTATATTTGAGTGGAAGAATTTATTTAATAAGTGGCCGTTTGGAGGTTTCTTGACCCCGCCCCCACCACTACCGCTGCAAGGCGTGCAGTTGACGTTCCCGCGGCTAAGTAGAACCAGTTTCGAAACATCGATTGGAAAGGTTAACAGCGCAGTGACAAAGCAGGACGAGGCGGGAAGTTGTAGAGGAGCTAGAAATAACGTCATGAAGGGTCACATTAAAACCGAAAAAAAAAGCAAAAAAAAAAAAAAGCAAAAAAAAAGCAATAAGAAAAAACATTCATTTGGTTCAATGATTAATAAATATATCGTTTATATTTGAGTAGTTAAGCAATTACTTCGTTTGGCGGCATCTTTTATGTGGGTTCTTATCCGATTCAAGGAATACAGTTGGCGTAATTTAGCCTCGCCGATATGGAGGGGAAATAAGCCAAAAGAAAAATGAATGAAAATGCTACGGCAGCGGTCCATAATGAATGAATACGTATTATGAAACAATTAAATAAGAAAGAGAGAAATAAGAAAAAAAAAAAAAAGCCAAAAGCATAACGAATAAATCAGCAGAAAATGAATGAAAGAAGAGAAAATGAAAGCGAGAATGAAAGAAGAGAAAATGAAAGAAGAGAAAGAAAAGAAAATGAAAAAGAGAATGAAAGAAGCGAATGAATAGAAATTGAATGAAAGATGTGAAATGAAAGAGAGAATGAAAGAAGAGAAAATGGAGAAAAGAATGAAAGAAGAGAAAATGAAAGAGAGAATGAGAGAAAAGAAAGAATAGAAAATCAATGAAAGAAGAGAAAATGAAAAAAAGAATGAAAGAAGAGAAAGAACAGAAAATAAGTGAAAGAAGAGAAAATGAAGAAGAGAATGAAAGAAGAGAAAGAACAGAAAATGAATGAAAGAGAGAATGAAATAAGAGAAAATGAAAGAGGGAATGAAAGAAGAGAAAATGAAAGAGGGAATGAAAGAAGAGAAACAATAGAAAATGAATGAAACAAGAGAAAATGAAAAAGAGAATGAAAGAAGAGAAAATGAATGAAAGAAGAGAAAATGAAAAAGGAGAATGAAAGAATAGAAAATGAATGAAACATGAGAAAATATAAGAGAGAATGAAAGAAGAGAAAGAACAGAAAATTAATGAAAAAAAGGGAAAATGAAAGAAAGAATGAAATAAGTGAAAATGAAAGAGGGAACGAAAGAATAGAAAGAATAGAAAATGAATAAAACAAGAGAAAATGAAAGAGAGAATGAAAGAAGAGAAAGAATAGAAAATAAATGAAAGAAGAGAACAAGTAAAATTAAAGAGTTAAGTCATGAAATTTGAATTAAATGAATGTAAAAAAAAACAAAGTGTGAATATAAAAAGATGAAAATTAAACATGAATAATCGTTAAAAATCATTTCAAGAGCTTCGTTTGCTTTGATTGATTTTGTTTTGTAGCATATCAACACCTCTATGGATTATTGTCAAAATCTATATATTTTGAATAATTTTATTGCTTCAGCTAAATATATTTTGAACGTAATTGTATGCTTTTAACTACAGATCGAAAGTATTGTTGGTCATTTTGCTTTAAATATATACAGTAATTTTACTATAAATAGGTATTGTTAGTAATTTTACTATGAATATAAATTATTTGTAAATTTAATGTGAATAAGTATTGTTGGTAATTTTACTATAAGTATGTATTGTTGACAATTTTACTAATATATCTATTGTTGATAATTTTAATATAAATACGTATTGTTAATTTTACGATTAATATGTATTGCTTTTTTTTATATAAAAATGGATTGTTAGTAATTTTACTATAAAAATATATTTTTATACTTTCCTAGTGTTTTGATTTTTTTTTTTTTTGGTCATTCAATATTTGGCCATAGCTGGAACCCTAACAGGTGCTACCACCAGGAACAACAACAATTAAGAAAAGTTTTTACGCTCCTCAAAACCACCAATCTGCCTATTAAAGGCATTGCTGCCGGATGTAGTTTATCGTCGTCATATCCAGGACTAGAAGAAGTACGTGATAAAAGTAGAAATGAAAGAGTTAGTAAAAGCTATACTATTTAAAATAAAGAAACATGAAAACGAAAGATCAATGAAGAAAACATGGGGAATGAATGCATAAACGAGAACATTCCATTTTATTCAGTCAGCGCATTTTTGCGCCGCCGCTGTGGTCACCACTCCCCTCCATCTCACAACTATGATTCACGTTGACATTCAAGGCAGAACAGTGCAATGGTTTGCCGACCCCTTTTGCACCGGCAGTGTTCAGGTTATTCCGTTCCTCCTCTCAGTGGTGGATTTGATTTTTTTGAAGTTAGCTTCTATTCTTCACCTTAGGAGGTAGAAAATACAACGCAGCAAGTGGTTTGAATTTGGAGTTTCCTTCTCCTAAATTGGTTGCCACCCAAGACTATAGGACCCGCTCTGTACGGCTATTTTTACCCATAGCTGTGGAGGAGATGAAGTCATACCATTCCCAAGAGTATTAGCACGTAAGTGAATGTAATGAACTCGACTGGAATTCGAACTCGGCTCTCCGATTCCAAAATCCGAGCCGCTAACCAGTACTCCACCGTGCTAAAAAAAGGAAACACTAAAGGGGAAAAAATGGTGGAAGTGTAAAAGAATAAAAATTTAAACGAGAACGATGGAAGAATGAACCAAGAAAATGAAAGTCATGAGGAATATAAAATATCGAGGAAAACGAAAAAAAAAGGAAAAGAAAAAAATCAAAACAAAGAAAACAACAAACAGATAAAATCTGAAAAAAAAAAAAATGAAAGAAACGAAAGTGCTCGTTCCTTAAGAGTCCATTTCCCGAGCGCGTATCGATGAAGACACTGGCCGGCGCACATCATCTTCGTTCTTGACTGCAAACTCTAGCACTCACCAAATGGCGTCTAATTCAGCCATGTCACCATCAGCTGCCGACGTCTCCACACTTCTCGCCAAATTGGCCCAGGAATCGCTCATGTGGAACTAAACGTTCACCCTCACTGAATGTGTGCAGTGGTCGCAAGTTGAGCTAAGGAGTCGGAGCATCCGTGGGGTGAATTGGAAGTGGGAAAGGTTAGAATTGGGTCCCAATGCAGCATGTGTGTTACGCAGGAAAGTGAAAGTGAAAGTAGTAGGACAAAGATAAAGAAGAGTGGCCTAAGTTTTGATGAAACAAACAAGTAAAAAGAGATGGAGAGTAAGACTATGGAGAGAATGGCAAGTGAAACAACGAATAAGATGAAGTAAAAGACGAATCGTGAAGAAAGAATGAAAAGAATAAACATAAGTAGATGCCCACACCCATATATATATATATATATATATATATATATATATATATAGAGAGAGAGAGAGAGAGAGAGAGACAGACAGACAGACAGGCAGACAGTGACAGAAAAAGCGAAAGAGAGCTAGGAAGGGGGAATATAACTAGATAGAGAGAGGTGTCTAATGAAAAGGTGGGAGAAAACAAAGGGGCACTGGAAGAGGAGATAAAAATCAAAATGTAAAAGTTTATTAGAGAGGCGGAAAACAAATATGGGAAATGATTTTAAAAGTATTGTTAAAACGAGATGACGCAAACAAGAGAAAAGTAAACAGAAATTTGGAAACGAATGTAAAGAAAGAGGGAGAGAAATTAGAAATGATGTGTGAAAGTCGAGAGAGTAAAAGTAAGAAGGAGAATAGAGAGGGAGAAAGAATGAGAAGGCGAGAAAGAGGGAAGGCCAGCATGTAAAAGATAGAGAGGGAGAGGGGCAGATATAGAGATATTTTTAGATGTATAAGAGAGAGAGAGAGAGAGAGAGAGAGAGAGAGAGAAGGGAAAAGAGAGAGCGGTGCAGTTGACAAAAAAAGAAAATGAGAAGCGAATGAAGGAAAAGAGAGCCTGAAAGTGTCTAAGAAAAAAGAGTGTATAAAAGTGAATCCTGGAAGAGCGAGCTAGTGAGATAGATAGATATAAACAGACTGAAATAGATAGATAGATAGATAGATAGATAGATAGATAGATAGATAGATAGATAGATAGATATGAATGGACCGAGATAGATAGATAGATATGGACAGAATGAGATAGATACAAAATAGGTAGATAAAGAGAGAGAGAAGGAGAGCAGGAGAGATATACAGACAGACATGGGGGGGGACAAAAATTAGAGAAAGTAAAAAAGAGAAGATCCAAGAAAAAAAGATAGAGAAACGGTGGAGAAAGCACAGGTAAAAGAGTGTAAATGTCGTGAAGGTTATGAAAAAAAGTAGATCCGCGGATTGGTTGAAAATAAGGTAAAAGAGAAAAAAATCCGTAAGTTGAATGAAAAGTGAAGAAAATAAAACTGATTTAATAAATAAAAACAAAAGAGAAATGAAAGACTAAAAAAAAAAAATATAGAAATAAAATAAAGAACTAAAATTCTTCAAATCGTCACGTGGAAGGAAAAAGGCAAATAGAAAAATAAAAATGAAATAGAGAAGAAAAGTGAAAGTGAAAGTAGCCTGGCTGAAATGGACACATGAGTAAACTGTCTTCGCCCTTTTCCAACCGGGCTTTTTAGCAGCGCTTCACTAGAAATATGTTCGGTTAGGAAAAGGAGGCACGGATCGACGAGTTGAGTGCTGATGCTGGTGAGGTGTGATGGGTGGGGTGGCAGTGAAACAACTCACGGAAAAGTAGTGTCGATCGATGAAAAGCCGAGCCGAGTTATTAGGGAGAAGAAGAGAGGCGAAAAGAGATTTGGGGTCAGGTGTTCGGGCCTGGCTGGGCGAATCGGTATTTACAGCTAACGAGAGAACGCCAGTCGGAATGATTATCTGATACAAAAATGTTAGAATTTGATTTTCGTCTCGTTGGATAACGCATCCTCTGAGTGAGTTTGGTCGGAATCATAGGAATGTTCGCGCAGATGTCCTTTCTCTACTGGTTGCCTCTCTAGGTGGCTTTTAGGGTGACAACAAATACGTAATATTTTGTGGATATAATATTATATGAGTGTAAAATGGTATTAAAATGAACTAGTATGTCACAAGGTCATGAAACATAATGGATTTTAGCCCATATCCTCCTGGGATCAGTTTAAACTGACGTCACTCTTGATTTTAAAATATATAAACTGTAATAATAAATTATAACTGTGGAAAGTGAAAATTTCATTGAAATATATTTTTAAAAAATAGCTTAATTTAAAGACAATTTGATGTGCGTAGGTCCTTACCGTACAAACAATTATTTTTATTTTATGGGTCACTTTCGCTGTATTTCGCAATTAATTTCGATTATTTCCAAATTTATTTCCAAGTTATAAAGATCGTATAAAAAATTCTTCGCAAGAAATCACGTAAGGAAATCACCGCAAAAAACGGCAGAAATGAAATATTGTGATGTGGACCCAAAGTTGGGACCCCGGAAGGAAAACACGGAACATGGATTAGAGGTAAGAAAGATATATTAAACAAAAAGGTTACGAAGATAGTGTAAGTGTAAGCGGAGCTTATGTGCTAGTGGCCAATATTGGTAGTCGTACGCGGCTGATATTACGGTATTAGAATACTCTCTCTCTCTCTCTCTTTCCTCCTTTTCTCCTAGAGTGTTATATCGCATACTTTATATAGTCCTGGAAGAGTCGATGTTGTAGGTATGTTACGGTCTCACAACACATTGGGAATCCAAAATTTCAGGATTGTGAGTCGGATCCGACCCGGGATGTTTTTAATTTGTTCCCAGAGTCGGTCTGATTCCAAAATTGTATTATATGTTAGACATTTATTAAATAGAAGATGGGGTATTGAAAGTTAGAGAGTTGTGTCCCTTTAACTGAAAAAGTGTTTCACACTGACATTAGCGTTTACTACCAACTATAAGAAAGATATACACAATACAAAGCTGCGTTAGTTTAAATTGACAATTAGAGGATAAGTTTAATTAATATCAACAGCTAGCAGAAAACATAATTAAATGAAATTGATCCCTGTTAAAGTTGACAGTGGGTGGGGGGGCTACAGAATTTTAATGTAACTGCTTGAGAAGATTGGAGAGTTATGGGAGAGTGATTTGTTTAAGTGCTCACTGAGCAAGTTTTATCTCCGTCAGATTCCATGTAATGATATGGATAAGTCTTTATTTTATTATTCTGCATTTGTTCAGTTAAATTGTTTTTTCCTCTTTATTCTTTTCGCCATAGGGTTTGAGGTCGACGAGCTCGCTGGCCTTCGTTAGGCATATGATGTATCCGTGAATCTTGGACGAAATTCTTTGTATAATCAGCGGTGATCTGCAACCTCATTCTATTGTGGTGTCCTCCCTCTAATGTGTCTATTGCGGACTCTTCCACATACTATAAAGTTAGTAGGAAAGCCTCGGGGGAACAGTGCTATAGCCTTTTCAACTGTCGAACTCTCTGCCTTGAGCAGAGAGGAATCCAGACGAGGCTTTTCGGGGAGGTAGACAGACCCTGAACCCCTTTATGCGGGTTCTAAGGGAATATTTTTGGCCGAGCCTACGGGCTCGGAGAACCCACGCTAAACTCGGCCTTGTGCCACACACATCCCTAGTTGGGGGGGGGGCTGTTAAATATTAACAGTGATATAGACTATCCAACTGTCGAACTCTCTGCCAAAGACAGAGAGGAACCCGGACGATATTCAGCGAAGCTACATTCCATTGTTCCACCATTTCAGACCCTTCCAGTTCGGGACTCACCATGCCATGCACGCAGGGGTTAAGTCATCCTAATTCGCTGTGCATTCAACTGGTAAGAGAGAAGTTTCATTCAGATAGCGTCTTTTCAAGAGCCGATACTTTATAGAACTGACTCCCGAAATGAAAATTCCCCGACCGCTACAATCTTAACCATTTCAAGTTTATGGTAAACCGATATCTAACCTACTTAGGCTTATAATTGTTACTTCCATAAAACAACCTAATTCTGTAACCCTCTATGTCGAATGGCTCTTGGGTCTTTTATTGGTGAATGTCATCAAACAACTGGCATTTGGATTGATTATCGATTATCTTATATTATCAAAGTACCTCATGGATCATCTGTCTATATTTCTGAGATGAGGTATCTTACCTATTTACACTATTTATATTGTTCAGACTGTTGTCTCCATCTTTGTTGTCATATTCACAATGTTTCGACCGTTGTATGCTACGGCCTTTTTCAGCAGTGGACGAAAGTATTGTTTGAAGTAATTGACCCAAAGACTTGTGAGTTCAATACATGGCCACAGCAAAGGTGAACACCCAGAAGAGGCGTGGCATGTGGAACTAGAACAATCTATCCCAGTGGATGAAATAAAAAGTTCGGTTCAAAATTCCAATCATCTGAATAAGGCCGCAGCGTACAACGGCCGAAACGTTGTGAATATAACAACAACGATGAGGACAATAGTCCGGACAATATAAATAGTGTAAATACCTTCTCGATTATCCGTTGCTCAGTTTTCGGGACGTCGATTAGCCGGGCATAAAAGGAAGAGTTTTGTTTATCAGTTATAGGAAGTAAGTCCATTCTAATATATTATCTCAGACATTTTGTTTTTGAAGAATTTATAGAACCATAATCAGCTTCAAAAATTTCAATTTCAAATACGAAGGCAATGATTACGTTTGTCGCAATTTTAAGTTGGTTGACTTTCAACGAGAAATAAAAGCTATCATTACAAATGCGTCTACTTTAATCCAGCTTTGGGAGGAAAAATACAAGGCCAGACGGAAATTTACAAAAGTTAGGGGTGACCGCTTGAGAATACAAGGTGCTGTAAGCTTGGATGTGCGGTTGGTGTAAAAATGGACAATGGCTAGGAATCGTTAAGCAGAGAGCCGACTTCCAATTCTACTTGGGTTTGATATATCACTATACTCTTTGGAAAGGTATGAATCTATCTCTTCTCCCCCAGTTATGGATTAATTAGTAAGACTTGTATCATGATAATAATTATTATCTACAGAAGAATTGTCCACAAATATTTAGATATCGGCATTAAATAACCCATATGCCGCTAAACAAAATCAACCAAAACCAAATGTCGCTAAACAAAATAAACCAAACCAAACCAATCAAAATATTTAGATTCCGGTATCAAATAACCCATAGAGGTTGATATGCTGCTAAACAAAATCAACCAAACCAAACCAAACCAATCAAAATATTGAGATTTCCGCATTAAATAACCCATAGAGGTTGATATCTCTAAACAAAACCAAACGACCAAAACTTTGAACAAAGCGTTTTAATATATTATATGAGGATATATATGTTAAATTTATTTCTGAAAATGATTTTTCTTCATTCATTTTCTATAATATCAGAATTCAATTATCCGGTATTTTGAATTATACGAAATTATTTTTTTTTCAACTCCAGATCCAAGGTGTTTGAATAATCGAGAAAGTACTCTACCGTCAATTTCTTTAGTCCACGTCAAAAGCAAATTTTCTATCTTGTGAAAATTATAACAGTTCTTTTTTGTTTTTTTGATAGAATTAAGAGCAAATGACTTAAACTTTTGGGACATGTCATACGGTCCAAAATATGAATCAGAAAATAGTGTCTCGAGGAATAAATTTCAGACCAAAGGTCGACTGAAATTCAGATGCAGAGACAATATGTTCAATGTGAAAGTATCATAGCTGCTCCCATAGAAATAATATTGCTATGGATTGAAATATTTCCAAAGAAATGTCACGTGATCTCGTACTCTGCCATTTTTGCAGTTAACAGAAGATAAAATACAGGGTGCGACTAAAATATCTCCCACATATACCTTCCAGAAATACTTCCCGCATAATGGTGAGGCATTAGCTCGATGAATACACCATTGCCACTAATGACTTACCATTATGTGAGAGGTATAGTGATTTTCCAAGCGTAGCTTAGATGTGGCACAAGACCGAAAGTATGGGGCACCCAGTGAAGGACGAACTCACTACTCATTCATAATTGTTCTAGCGAGATAACCTTGTTAACCATTACATCGCCTCGGGGTGCCTATTATGTGGGAGGTATTTCTGTCGCTAACTGCATAAATGAATTTCTTTGGGTTTTTTGTTTTTTCCTTTCTTTCTTTAACTGGTTTCTTTCTTTTTTTCTTCTTTCTTTCTTTTTGCTTTTTTCTTCTTTCTTTTTTCTTTCATCCTTTCTTTCTTTTTTAATTGGTTTCTTTCTTTCATTCTTTCTTTTTTCTTTCTTTTCTTCCTTTTAATTGGTTTCTTTCTTTTTCTTTTTTCTTTCTTTTCTTCTTTCATTCTTTCTTTAATTGTTTTTTTCTTATCGTCTTTCTTTTTTCTTTTTGTTCTTCTTTCATTCTTTCTTTTTTTAATTGGTTTCTTTCTTTCTATACTTCTTTCTTGTTCCTTTTCTTCTTTATTTCTTTCTGTAATTGGTTTCTCTCTTTACTTCTTTCTTTCTTTTTTCTTTCTTTTTTCTTTCTTTTCTTCTTTCTTTCTTTTTTCTTTCGTTTATCTTTCTTTATTTTTTCTTTTTCTTTTTCTTTCGTTAATTCGTTTCTTCTTTCTCTCTTTAATTAGTTCCTTTGATTGGTTTCTTTCTTTCTTTCTTTCTTTCTTTCTTTCTTTCTTTCTTTCTTTTTTTTTTTCTTTATTTCTTTCTGCCTGCCTGCCTGCATTGCCAATTAACTTCACATGACTTTTATTGTTATTTTTTTAACACTTCTTAAGTGTCTTCAAAGAAATTAAATGACTTACACAAAGAAGAAAATACTATTTTTTCTTACCGGCCCCAGTATTAATTTCTTATTATAATTTTGACAACTACCTGTTCCACAATTCCAACCCTATTCCTGGAGAGTCTTGGGAATGGGAAATAAACACCCACTGGAGACTCTCGACCCCCAAACATTGCCACTAAAATGTGCACGTATTGTGTAAAACAAGTTACTGGACACAGCAAAACGCTTACCAGACGCAGTCATTTTCTTATTTCCTACAGGGGTTAATTGATGTCCAGGGTGCAGCGCGCCAACGGAATAAGTTCTTCGTTGTCGCGTTTCACAAGAAAACTGCGCAGAGGAACACTTTTCTTGGGATTAATCAGACATTTTTCTCTTGCTCACTTTCATTCCTTGTTATTTTAGAATCTTTTATTTTCCTTTCACTTACCTCATCTTTTTCTCCTTGGATTTTTTTTTTCTTTGTTCTCTTTTTCACTCTTCACTTTTCTGCTCACTCGCTATTTCTGTATTAAGCCAACGTCTGCCTATTTATTTAAGGTCTTTTTGTCATAATTTATCTTCTTCATTTTTTGAGAATTATATATTCTATATATAATATTTAATTGCCTTTTCATCCTGTTTATTATTAGGGTGTATCTGGCTACGGTAGAATAAGTTAATAAATTGTATATTGTTGTTTCCATCTTGTTTTATGTTTTCTAAATATTGTTAATTCCTTTGGTTCGTCGATGACGTGATTAGGGAAGTTATTGTTGATTAGAGTTTCTTTAAAAATGTTTAGTTCCTTATAAAATAAAGTTGCTTAGTCCCTTATAGAATGAAATTGCTTAGTTGATTATAGAATAAAGTCCTTAGTTCCTTATAGAATAAAGTCCTCAATTCCTTAGAGAATAAAGTTGCTTGGTTCCTTATAGAATACATTTGCTTACTTCCTAATAAAATAAAATTCCTTAGCTCCTTATAGAATAAAGTTTCTTAGCTTCTTTTAGAATAACATGTCCAAAGAAGAGATTACTTTAGTACGTAAATCATGTTTTTTATAACAGCTATTCTGTATCTGTGAGGATATTCACTTTTGTCGATGAGTAGACCCATATATATATATATGAAAATTTCTCCGATTTAATCGGTAGAGAAGACAATATTTATGAATAAAAATGACAATAGGAAAACTGGTAATTGCTGACGCGTTTCGTCCAATGTGGACTTTATCAAAGCAAAATACGAAAATGAAATTAAATGAACAACGTAACTAATAAAAACAAAAACAGAATGTACCTAGCAACTGGAATGTAGAGAAACGCTATTTTCATATTTTTTAAATGAAAAATGACGTCAGAGATTGTCACGTGTGGAGAATATTGTCATTATATCTGTGTTGATGTATTCAACCATTTTCTTTCGATTTTATGAATCTGTTGTGCATATTTGTTTGTAAGAGCATTAATTTTGTTAAGAAAGGTGAAATAGGGAAAAAGCCTGGGCGTTAATTAATATTTGGATAATTTTCTATGGCGGCACTCTCCAGAATTTTCCTTCTGAGTGAGTTATTTTCATTTTTCATGAGTGTAGCATTTTTAAAATCAAAATTATGGTTGTATTTATTTCTATGTATGACTATTGCATTAGCTAAGTTGTTTTTTGTGAGGTCTCTTTTGTGCTCATAAATGCGTTTTTTCAAACTTCTACTTGTTTCTCCAATATATTGGGATTCCAGATTTAATTTCAGATACATAGACGACTCGTTATTAATAATTCCAAAAAACACCAATTTAACAGATCTTCTCTCCAAACTTAACAACATTGAACCTACAATAAACTTCACGCTCGAAACTGAAACCAACGTTCCTGGACATTTTGTTAATTAGAAATAACAACGAACTCAATTTTGACGTTTACAGAAAGTCTACAAACAAAAATTATCTCATCAGCTTCTACTCAAACCACCATTCAAAAATTAAATCTGGAATTATTATAGGTTTCTATCTAAGAGCATTAAGAATCTGTAGTCCTCAATATTTATTTAAAGAAGAAACATACATAGAAAACACATTCAAAAACCTAAAATACCCATATCATTTCATCCACAATGCAAGAAGAAAGGCATACAAAATATACAAACGAAACAAAACTAATAACACAATCCGCAATAGTAAATCACATGAAAACAGATACATAATACTACCGACCAATTCTGCCACGTCCACGATCCAGAATAACCTATCCCATCTAAATAATCTTGAAATAGTCACAAACACCTCCAAAACCATTATAGATATACTAAGATCTTCAAACAATAATAGCACTAATATTTCTGAAGCAGGCATTTATAAAATAAAATGCCAAAACTGCTCCTCCCAATATATTGGAGAAACAAGTAGAAGTTTGAAAAAACGCATTTATGAGCACAAAAGAGACCTCACAAAAAACAACTTAGCTAATGCAATAGTCATACATAGAAATAAATACAACCATAATTTTGATTTTAAAAATGCTACACTCATGAAAAAAGAAAATAACTCACTCAGAAGGAAAATTCTGGAGAGTGCCGCCATAGAAAATTATCCAAACATTAATTTATGCCCAGGCTTTTTCCCTATTTCACCTTTCTTAACAAAATTAATGCTCTTACAAACAAATATGCACAACAGATTCATAAAATCGAAAGAAAATGGTTGAATACATCAACACAGATATAATGACAATATTCTCCACACGTGACAATCTCTGACGTCATTTTTCATTTAAAAAATATGAAAATAGCGTTTCTCTACATTCCAGTTGCTAGGTACATTCTGTTTTTGTTTTTATTAGTTACGTTGTTCATTTAATTTCATTTTCGTATTTTGCTTTGATAAAAAGTCCACATTGGACGAAACGCGTCAGCAATTACCAGTTTTCCTATTGTCATTTTTATTCATAAATATTGTCTTCTCTACCGATTAAATCGGAGAAATTTTCATATATATATATATGGGTCTACTCATCGACAAAAGTGAATATCCTCACAGATACAGAATAGCTGTTATAAAAAACATGATTTACGTACTAAAGTAATATATATATATATATATATATATATAAAGATATGTTTGGTGGTACAAAATTTTATCACTGCTATGAATAGATAAAAATTAGTTTTTTTTTTATTACCACTCATGATAATAAAAAGTATAAAAAATGAAAAACGGGCTAGCTAAACTGTTTCGTACCTCGCTCAACAGAGCCAAATCGAGGTAAATAGAGTAAATTATATAATATAAAAAAAGAACAATGGACAAAGTTTATTGGTGGGAAAAAATTAAATGGTAATTAGTTGGAGGCCTAATATAAAGTCCTTCTGTTTACAAAGAGAAGTCTTTAATATATATATATATATATATATATATATATATATATATATATATATATATATATATATATATATGTGTGTGTGTGTATATATATATATATCATAAATTGCGACGTACACGATTTTGAGTCTAAAACTTTTCCAAAACTAGATGTCGACTTATATGGCGAATGTAAAATATTAACCAATACCACCGAGTTGTAAACAAGTGAAACAGCACGTCTAACAATTCTAGTAAATTACTTACCGTACCTCTAGCAGGCTGCCACAAGTATATCCAATATATCCCACTAAAACTACTGTTTGGTGGACATATTGGGCATATTAACTGCAGAAATTAAAAAAAAATAGTTACAGAAACTATTTTCTATTAACGCTACAGCACACATTACATCCAGCAACTGATATGATATACAGTACCTACCAGTGTGTATTTTAAGTTGTTTGCTATACAACGCATATAGAATGGTATGGATACTATCTCAATATACAGGGAAATGGTGTGACCTTTATAGTTTTGGTACAGTCTATCGTATACTGTAGCCTAACTTCATATACCAGAAGGCCACTGGTATGCGGAACGACCTATAAAATAGTTATAGCTCACGATTTTGATATAAAAATCCTGACGTCGACTTGTATATATATTTGTTTGTTCCTCCAAAATTTTGGACAGTAGTGTATATATATATATATATATATATATATATATATAGTCCGCCCAAAAATGTATACACACTTCTGGAATAGAAAAACTTTTATAGATATTGTAATACTAAATTTATTCAAACATCATGAGATTAATACAAGTTACCTCTGGAATCTACAATCACAAAATATGCTCAAAATGGCGGCCTTTAGTTTCCAGACATTTATTAGTACGGCGAACTTCTGCTTAGGAAACGTTGGCTAAAGTGTTCAGTTGTCGGCGTCAATTGTTGATGCTACAGCCATAAGGGTGATGCGATCTGTCGAGAAAATGTACTACAGTAAACATTGTTATCGCAATTTGATAAAACTACGAAATACAAGCTTTTTCCTTTCCTGGACACTGTATATATGTTTTGGCAGACACTGTAGTTATGTATATTAAAACAAGTTTTGTTAAATTCAGCGGACATGGTCTGTCTAACTCGTTATTGTACTTTCTCAATTTTCGAATAAGCCGTTGCATATCTGGATCAAAATCGTAGATAAACTGTTCGAGGTACGTTTTGCTACTTTTTAAAGTTTAAATTTCGGTTGCTAACAGTCGGCTTTTAAAATATAAAAAAAACGCCCTTAAAACTGTGTTCATTATTTTTATCGTCATTCATTTTCCTTCCAGTTCTTGTCTATTTTCTTTATTCTTCTGTGTACCTGATTCCAGCCAACTCTACGTTGTCCAATTTTTACATTCGCCATTTTCGAAATTTTGTTACTCTCGTCTGGCTTTTACATTGCCTGTTCTGTCTGATTTTATGTTACATTATTACTTTCATTTACTACTTTCACTTTCGCTTTCATATTTCGACTTTCATTCACTTTCTACTTTCACTTTCATTACTTTTTTTTATTTTATTTCCGGCATTCACTTTGTAGCCATTAACGATATCATGAACCATATTATCTAGAATATGCAATGTTATTTTACCAGGCCGACACAAAGGACCTTCTTAGAATAAGGCAATAAATTTAAATAAACATTTCCTTTCTCTTCCCTTTCCTTTATTTTCTTCGTCTCTGGAATCTTTCAAAATCATATTTTTTTCTTTCGATTCTTTATTGTCAGAATATATTATAAAGGGATAAAATTCAAAAGAGTGAAAAAATTAA